CCAATATTACCCCAATATGACCCCAATACTACCCCATTATAACCCCAATATAACCCCAATATTACCCCAATATAACCCCAATATGACCCCAATATAACCACCCTAAATCCTAAACCCTAAACCCTAAATCCCATCATATCTCTGCGCCTGTGGGTCCGTTAGGAGCACTTCGCTCTGTCGTGCCACGCCCTGCAAGTCTGCGACGATGAAGCACCCGCCAGACCTGGCTGAAAGGATAGGGCTTAGGGTTTAGGGTTTAGGGTTGTTGATGGAGAGAATCTTGCACCACTTAGATCCCCTAAATTACTGTAATTCCTAGGACTTTAGGGACTTAAGGTGGTGCAAGATTTCCTCCATCAACAGTAGGTCCCTGTAAAAGGGTGTACTTTGGGGTTCAGGGTTTAGACTGTAAGGTAGGGGTACGTGTACTTTGGGGTTTGTGGACTAGGCTTTAGAGGTACGTGTACTTCAGGGTTTAAGGTTTAGGCTGTAGGGGTACGCGTACCTTGGGGCTTCGGATTTAGGCTCTATAGCGGTACATGTACTTTGGGTTGTAGGGTTTAGACTTTAGGGGTACATGTACTTTAGAGTTTAGGGTTCAGGCTTTATGGCTACTCGTGCTTTGAGGTCAAGGGTTCGGGCTTTTGGGGTACATGAGGATCCTATAGGGCTATAGAACTCCAATAATGGACCATGAAATGAAAAGGCAATGGAAAGCAACATGCCAACTGGGGTCATATGTTGGTTCATAGGGCTCGGGGCTTCCACAATTCAGGGGTACAATTTTGCGCGTCGTATAACAAGGATGTTAATGTTTTTTTTGGATCTACATTGGGGTCCCCCATTTTCGGAACCATTTAGGGTTCAGAGTTTGGAGTCTAAGGGTTCAAAGTTCCGGGTTTTTGGTCTTTTTGGTGCTTTGTGCAAACAGGGGCCCGATCTTAACCCCCCAGATTTTTTGGAAAAGAGTTTCAGGTTTGGGGGTTTAGGTGTTTGGAGTTTGGAACTTCGAGATCCGGGGCGTAACCCCTAAACCCCAAAGCCTTAAACCAAAACCATAAACCAAAACCAATGCAGGGAGGAAAGAACAACATGATTTAGGTTTCTGACTTTCATGCTAATGAAGGAAGAAATGAAACAACATGGAAAACACTGTTTTCGGACTGATATAGGGATGATAGACTGGAAAATATGACAAGTTCTGTGATATTCAGGCTTTAGGGTGTTAGGTTACAAGTTCAGGAATATGAATGAATGGGACGACTAGAAATGTTTTTTTTGAAAGTATGTAGGCATCGGAAGGAATATGGTACCTGTAGAGTAGTTTGTCGAAATTTGCCAGTCGACCCGATGACAAGAATCGCTTCCAAGGTTGCGTTTCATACCCTAAGGCTCCAAATAGCCCAATGTAGGTCGTATTTATAGACTTTGGGGCCCAATGTAGGCATTATTTATAGACATGGAGCCCTAGGGATAGTAGACTTGCCATGCTAATTTTCCACTGTGCTTCTGGGACGCTCCCAGGCCAGCGCCCCACGATCCAATAGATACCCTAAACCCTAAACCCTAAACCCTGTATCGCCTTCCATCACAGACTGTCATCCTTGCAGGATGCCTCCCAAAAACCACAAACAATGCGACTACTATTTGGGCACAGCGGCGCATGCCGGACTCCTGTCACTAATTCTATTCCGTCTGAGATGTTGCCAATATAACTCAGAGGAGTGAGAAGATCGTTAAGTGCTTGTTCCGGATTTTTAAAAATCCCTAAAGGTCCAGGGACCCAAATAATTGGGCTTCAGGGCCCAAATACTTATAATGATCATGTTATTTGGGACCCAATGCCTCATTATTTGGGTCCTTGGACCCTTAGGGAAGTCTTTCACAGTCTGTAAAACTATTGCTGTCAGTACTGAGATCCAGACTCCTCGAAGGTGAAGTGCAGGAACGCCTGCACCACATCGTTGTGCGGAAGCTGGGCATCAGCCACGTAGCCGTTGTTAGAGTTGTACTTCAGGAAGACACCTGGGCACCCCAAACCCTCAACCCATAAGCCCTAAAGCCAAAGTGTCCATGATGCTGTATAGTATACCTGTCTAGGATGCGAACCACGTTCTCTTCCTAGACCCGCCACCTACCCTGTATCAGTACCCACCATCAGGGGCCAGATCTCCCCAAGTAAGGGTTCTAGGAAGGTTTTGGTGCCGCAAAACCCTAAACCTTATATTATAAATATCCACCCTAAATCCTCAACCCTAAACCGCGTCACGATCACATCCTAAATTAATGGAGGCTCTTGGTGGGGAATCACTTTGGAAAGTGGCTATAATCTAAACTCCTAGAGCTTTAGAGCTCAGGGACTGTTTAGGGGGAAGCCCATGCCTTTGAACTTCAACATGCCTGAATCTCACCAGTAAGTAAAAGAATCAGGAAAATTCGAATAATTTCAAGTCCAGTTAAGGCCATTTGGTACTATTCCCTACATAAACCACCGTCTAGGGTGAGGTCGCTTTAAATTGCCCAGAATAATGGCTCAAGACCCATAACGGGGGTCATAAAGCTGCTATTCTACATACTGTTGGGGCTTAGGCAACAGGAAGACTCCACAAAGGCTGTGAACGAGGGTATGAACTCATTTTTAAACTCCGTGCGGCGTAAGGACTTTGGAACCTTCATATTGAAGGGATGGATCCTTGAAATCGGCTGGCGTGCCTGTTACATCGTTATACGTTCGAGAGTTCGAGTGCTGTGTGCATGTGTGTGTGTGTGTGCGTGTGCGTGCGCGTGTCCGCGTTACTGGTTACGAGGCTCTACGAGAGAACTTAGCAATGGATCAGCAGAGCAGTCAGCTTTCTGGCGTCAACGGTGTTGCTCGACAGTCGCGTAGATCTTGATTAGTTGGTCCACAATCCCCAGGTGAAGTTGCCGATTCCAACCGTTCCTCCTTATGGAGGGGCAGCGATTTATAATTCAGGTGTGAATCATTATTTTGACCAAGAACCTGAAAGTTCCCTAGTTGACAGCATTGGTTTCCTTATGCTTGCCCAAATTGCTGCTTGTTTTAAAGTTCTGAGAAATGTCAGAGTCAACCTTCAACTTAATCCCTCATGTTACATCCTGAACTTTAAACCATAAACATTGAGATGTTGATTGCTGGTCCACCTGGCAGGTATCTTTCGGCAGCGAAGCACCGCGGCTCCGTTTGCGGCAAGTCGCCTTTGGCCTATAGACGAAAAGAGTCGGGGGTCAGGTGCGCTTCTGCGTGTTTTAATTGCGCCCTGTTAGCTCTTCCAGCATATCGCAAGGGAAGGGCATCTACTTAAAAAGACGGTGCGACATAGTAGCCACTTATAACCATGACGACAATGTAAGCTGACGCACGAGCTTACACAACCTTTGGGCGTTTTCCTTTGTATACCGGAAAGAGTATGAAGCTGGCACAAAGCAACTGGTTAAACATGCCGTTAAAAAGATAACCTGGTTGCCAAAATTTTCCCGAAAGAAGTATGACCCCATGTCTCAACCCTCTTCCCTGCAGAACAAAAAACCAAAAAGAAAAAAACAAACAAAAAAACATCCTACCTCATACCCTTTTCGCCTAAACCCTAAACCTGAACCCCTAAACCCCTAA